GAACCCATGACCTTTTGCGCTGCTAACACAATGCTCTACCACTGATTCTTTGGATTAACGTGCACTGATGAATCATTCACAATAAAACCAGGAATGTGCATTAAGAAAGTAAATAAAGTTTATTTTAATTTCATGCCGACTTTGAAATAATATATGCAATGCCTAGTGCATCTAATCCTACTTATAAAACCTTTAATTTTCTGTAAAGCTGCTTTGCAACGATTTGTATCGTGAAAAGCGCTATACAAATAAACTTGAATTGAATTGAATAAACAACAGTAATCACTAAATGCTTACATAATTACCTAAGTGATCAGACCTTAATTAGACAGAGAAAAGTGTGTCTTTTTTCTTTGGAATAACATGCACTAATGAATCATTCACAATGAGACCAGGAATGTGCATTAGGAACGTAAATAAAGACACTTTTAAATTCATGCTGCCTTTGAAATAATATATAGAAGTAAATGCTTTAGACATTATGGATGCAACAACCTTGATAGCAGGTTCATTACTGTGCTAAACTCGCTAAAACGCTCTAAGAATGAAGTTTACATTTGAATGGTAGTGTATCTATCTGCAATTATAAACAATAATAATAACTAACTGCTTTAATACTTATGACCTATGATTTTTGCCTTGACTGGAGGGTAAAAACTTTTTTTTTTCTTTGGATTGATGTGCACTGATGAATGATTTACATGAAGACCAGGTATGTGCTTTAAGAAAGTAAATAGAGCATATCCTTGCATATATTTTAGACATTATGGACGAAACAACCTTGATATCAGGTTCAATACTGTGCTAATGTATTTGTACTTGTTATAATGCTCCAAGACTGACGCATGCAATATTCACTGTAAATAAAATCGAGACGCTCAACAGTAGTCCTTAACTATGCAAATCTTTCTATTTTTGTGGCATTAAAATGACTGAAATCCACCCAAATAAATACTTGCTTAAAGTTACCAGTCACTGCTGAGCATCGTTATTTTATTTATTCACTAAAGTCAGTTTTATTCTCATTCGGCATTCAGAGAGGTGTATATATCCACAGGGAGCGTTTAAAACACACTCCAAAAAATAATCTGCAGCATTATGATGACTTCTAAGATGCCCGTTCAGTCAAAATCTAACAAAAACATCACAAATATCCTCCAGGGAGAATGCAATCCCAGAACGCATAGCAACAAGCTGAAATCAACGACGATGAAGTGAGAGAAATGTTAACTGTAGCTCTTATCTATATTCTAGGTGGTGTTAGTCTATTATTTACATGTGGCTTCTTTTAGGCTCATTAGTCATCAAATCCTCTCTAACTCCACAGATGTTATGAAGGTTGCAGGTACAGATGTGCAGCTTTTCATCTCACTGAGCACCAGAAGAGCTCACAGATCAGGGTTTCAAATCATCTCAAGTTTATTTCAGTTCTGACGTGACCAGGCAGCTGTCTATGCAAGGCAACTCGCTGCGTTTCCAAACAGAGCCATAAAAAAATAAGAGCGAATCAATGACAAACAGCAAGAGCACCTTGCTGCTGCTCCCGATCGGCCCGACGGCAGCCTTGAGACGCGGACTGACTGAAGACATCATGTGATCGCAGTACATGTCATGCTTAGGAGCGTGAAACTGCAGGCAAGATGGATGGTGGGCTATAAATTAGGAGTCAGAGGGGTGCAGTGGGCGGTCGTTCTCTCTCACAAACCTCCACGCTTCTGTCAGTCAGAGCGAGTCTCAGCGGACCGTTCATGGACTCTCATTCATACTGAACACAACAATGGTTAAGCTCAGAGAAACGGCCAGCTCTGGCTTTAACTGCAAAAACTTTTAGCAGATAAACACATTTAGAGTTTACGGGCTTTCTTTTTGTAGAAAACCATCATGATATTGATGACATCATCTTGTTCACATGATTTTCCCTTTCGAGAAAAAGCTGTTGAATCCAAAATACTGGAAAAAATAAATAAAATCCAATATATTAAAAAGGCTGTCAGACAGACATGTACAATGGTGTAATACATTCAAATATCTACATAGATAATTTGCAAAATAAAATAAATTTTAAATTGATATAAAAAAAAATCTTAACAAAAAGGAATCCAGTATACTGAAAATATTCTGTATGTATTTTGCATTTATATTAAAATAAATTAAAAAATAAAATAAAATGGCAAAGAATTGCATAGATACAGTGTGTTTATATATATTTTTAATTATTATGATTTCTTATAATTATTTAATTATATTTTATAAAATATCCAATACTTAGGATATATATATATATATATATATATGTGTGTGTGTGTGTATATGTGTGAATCCAAAATATTTATATAAAATATATTTTTTTTAAGTTAAAATAAAAAAATATTAAATAAAAAAAATATAGAAAATAGGTTTTGGTCAGACAGCCTTGGCATTTGTTGAAAGAAAAAAAAAAAAATGGACTAATGGAACATTTTTTTTTTGTCAGAATAAGCCACACTGCGAAGCTCAGCTTAATGCTGATAGGCAAAAATCTAGCTTCACAAGACCAGAATAAAAAGCCGACGAGACTAGAATGAGCCGAGAGAAGCAGTGAGATGGAAATTGGATGTTAGTGCCAGAAGAACGAATACAAATTGATTCTTCATGTCATAAGAGTGATTCTGCATGAAGAAATGAGTAGATTTCAATATGCCCAACTATAAAACGGTCTTCAAAAGTCAATATGGTTTGTGTTTACATCATCATCCCTTGTCGTTTTGACATTCAGCTCCTTTTAAAGCGACTGACTGTGTCACAACCTCAGTGTAACGGTCGATTATAGCTCCAGTCCACGGCAGCGGCGAAACCCGATCCAATCTGTGCCACAGTCACCTGCCAGCAAAATACTCCCTCCATACTTCAGCACAGATCCAATTATCAGATTGGCTCCCAGCACAGAAAGAGCCGACCACACATTTATCTCAAACGCCTAATGGCCTCCAATGAAATGTTTAATTCAAACAGCAGCTTTATTGGATGGTACCTTTCCACATTATCCAGGTTCCCGGCCACTCCGAGTCCTCCGATGGTGTAAAGCTTGCCGTCGTACACCACGCTGTTGTGCCGGCACCGCGGGACTGTCATCCGAGACACCAGATTCCAATTATCCAGCAGGGACATGTAGCACCACACGTCTGCCAGCGTGACTCCAGACTCAATGCCTCCTAAAGAGGGTACAAGCCCAAACAAATGAGTGCTGAAGTCTCCATTTACACCCTCCAACATCACACCTCCATTAATACACAGCTGATGAAAAGACAGAAACAGATACGTAAAAAACAACACAAACATCTCCCTCGCTCTCAGGGATTCAGCGTTAGCTGCTTCCAGAAAGTGTTTTAGTGTCCATTTTAGTTTAGTTTTGAGAGACAGACAGACAGACAGATATTTATAAATAAAAGTCTAATAATATTTTTTATAAATCTAATTATATAATAAATCTCTATAAATCTAATATTTTTTATTATATTAAAAAAATCAATGCAACTTTATATAATGTTTTTTATTTAAATAAATATTTATCATTATTAAATGTTTAATTATATACATATTTAATTGTACACATTTTAATTTACATTTATATTTATTTCTATTTCTATATTATGTCTATGTATACACACACACACACACACACACACACA